CCGCGGGGCGTCGCGCCGCCACAGGCTCGTAGTCGAACTCCTGGAAGAGCCCGGCCGCCGTCGTCTGGAAGTCCTCGAGGAAGAGCTCATCCACCTGCAGGACACAGGGGACACGAGGTGGCCCGGCCACACCGAGGGACACGAGGTGGCCTGGCACACATTGGGGGGCCTGGTCCTCCCATGCGCCTGCAGGCTGGGGGACGCCATGTCCCCAGGGGGTGGCATTGCTGTATGTGGGGTCATGGTGGCCTTTGACTAGGGCCAGGTGTTTCTGTGCCTGGGATGGCAGTGTCCCCATATCTGGGGTCATGGTGTTCTCATCTCATATCTGGGACCATGGTGTCCCTGTATCTGGAACCATGGTGTCCCCATGACCATGACAGCAGTGTCCCTGTACCTGGAATCATGGGGTCCCCATGCCCAGGATGGTGACCCCCATATCTGGGACCAGGGTGTCACCATATCCAGCATGGTTGTGTCCCCATTAGTAGGATGGCAGTGCCTCCGTATCTGAGACAATTGTGTCACCATATGCAGGAAGCTTGTGTCCCCATGACCATGATGGTGGTGTCCCCATATCTGGGACCATGGTGTCCCCATGCCCAGGATGATGGTGTCCCCACCCCATATCTGGGACCATTGTGTCACCGTATGCAGGAGGGTTGTGTCCCCATCCCAAGCTGCTGTTGTCCCTGGGGCCATGGCGTCCCCACAATCATGGTGGCATCCCTGTGCCATGTTGTCCCTATGCCCACCGTGGTGGCGTCCCTGGGGCCATGGTGTCCCCATGCCTAGCGTGATGCTGTCCCCAAGCTCAGGGCGTTGGTGTCCCCATGACTGGAGCTATGGTGTCCCCATGCCCACCATCGCGCTGTCCCTATGCCCAGCAGGGTGCTGTCCCCATGCCCGTCCCCGCGTGTCCTCACACCCGTCCCTGTGTGTCCTCATGCCTGTCTCCTTGCGTCCCTGCAGTGTCCCTGCGCCCATCCCTATGGTGTCCCCATGCCCGTCCCTTGTGTGTCCCAAGCCTGTCCCCTGCATGTCCCTGTGCCCATCCCCACTGTGTCTCCGTGCCCATCCCTGCATGTCCCCGCAG